ACTATGAGGATTTAGGGATATAGCCAGCATTCGAGGACATTCACAAAACCTTGAAACCCAAACCCTTAACCCTCAGTCCTAAACCCTGAACGAAACCCTGAACCTTAATCTGAAAACCGCAAACCCTAAGCCCTATCGTAGGGGCGTTAATAATTAGAATAGGGTTTTGGGAAGGATATCGTGAGCAATTCTTCTTATTTTTTCGGAGCGTATAGGGTTTAAGGTGTCAGGTTTAGGCCATGTAATGGCTCTTAGACTCGGGAGGATATTTGGGAGCCAGTGGTAGTCCCGTCTTGCCACCCTGCTTGGCCAATGCTGCGGTGGCTGAGCTTGTTCGAGTTGCTAGGAGTTGCTTGCCTACGTAGTCTCTGCCCTAAACCCTAAACCCTAAACCGTTCTGAAGCCATGAAGATCAAAACTCTAAACTCTCAGGCCCTAAGCCCTAAACTCCAAACCCCCAGCGCCTAGTCCCCAAACCTTTCCTTAACCCGGAAGAACCTGCCTTTTTGAGGACTTATATAAGGAAATCATAATAAAGAACCCTAAAAAGGTATGTTACTCAAGGGTAAGCCCAAAGCCTTCAACCCCAAATCCCCAAAACCTAAACGTAATCGGCCCCAGGCCGCAGATCGCCGGAAACCGCAACCCCAAGGCTCAAAATAGCACCACATGCCTTTTAGAGTAGTCTTTGGGCCCAAAAGCCCCTTACCTACGGTCTCCATTGTAGTTCCTTTTTTTGGTTTAACCAATTTTATAAGCAGGATATTATCAGGAAACCCCACAAAGGAACTACAATGGAGACTATAGGTAAATAAATCCTTGGAGCACCCAAGCCTGGCAGGCCCTCGGGCCCCAAAGAGAACGGTTTACTCTAAGGGCCCAAAGGACCCAAAACTTAGGGTCCTTCGAAAGGGTTAGTAGGGTTCCTTTATAAAGGGTTCTATAAGGTAAGGGGTTTAAAGGATTGTATATTAGGGTTTTAAGGGTCCAAAGGACCCAATAATCAGGTACTTAGGTTTAGGATAGTAGTTATGTAGGTTACTATTTGGGAGAGTATATGATAATTAGGCACTCGGACCCTTAGGGTTAGGGTATAAAGTTCAGGGTTTACAAAGGTTTAGGCTTCAACGTTGAAGCTTCAGGCTTCAGGCTTTAGTGTTTAGGGTTCAGGGTTTGGCTCTTTGGGGTTAGGTTTTAAGGGTTTGGGTTTTTAGTTTTTAGGTCTTCGGGTTCAGGGTTTAGGGTCTGGGCCTCAGATGGCTGGACCTCATCGCCGGACGGAATCTTGCCACAGCCGTCGCTCTCGCAGTTGTGTGTGACCCTGGGCAGCCAACAGGGTGCTGAGGGTCCTTCAAGGGTGCTATAAGGGTTTCTTTGAGGGTTCTGTAAGGGTTTCGGGTATAAGGGTCCTAGGTACTGTTGTGCGGATACTTCCCCAAACCATTCTAGTAACTCCTAATAAAGAAACCCTACGATCTGCGATATAATATAGGTACTTTGCACCCTTTATAGTTCCCGAAACCATAATTAAAAGTAATTCCTAATATGGATAACCCTAAATTCTACAACATAGACACTTGGGTGGTTATCAAAATTATGGTGCCTTTGTGGGTCCTTACTATAATAAGGCACCTATTATTTAGGGTACCCAAAAAGGGACCCTAATTTTAACAACCACCCACTTCGGACCCAAAGGCCAGGACTTTGTGTTTTGAGATCTACTGCTTCGCGACGTTCCAGCAGGGTAGCATCGGCCTGGCCCTTCGTCTCTCCGAACTTCTTGTTCGTGTATGGTTTAGGGTTCTAGGATGCCCTGCTAAGGGTCCTGTAAAGGGGTCCTTCAAAGGGTACTATAAGGAATCTATAAGGGTACCATTATATACTAGGATGCCCAGTAACCTAGGAATAAAAAGGACTCCCTTTTTGGTATTGGGTAACTTTAGAAGGAACCTAGGACTACAAAAAGGGAGTAAGGGTACTACTGGGCATCCTAGGGTTTAGGGCTCCAGGGGACGAAGACTAAGTCATGCAAGGCTTTCGTGCGAGCTCGTAATGAAGAGCTGACCTTAGCTAGGCTTACTTGAGGGGCTTCGGATGCTGTTCACAGGTTGCCAATGCAGCGCCTAAGTTTCTGTGCGTCTCCTGCAAGCTAGAAGCATTTCCTTGTGCTTGTAGTGTTTTATAAAACATTAAAAAACACTGTTTTATAAAACACTACGATGATCATCTGAGAATCTGGCACCGTGCTCGGGTTCAGTGGTGACGAACAACAGCCACACAGATCTAGCCATTCTGTCCCCCCAAGCTGTGAACTCTCTGTTCTGGCCAAACGTTTCGGTAGGATTTCTTAAGGCTCCAAAGTTGTGGCTAAGTCACTAGGGGCCTGGATAAGCCTAAACCCTAAAGCCTATACAAGCTGCACACGGAGCCCTTGAGCAATACCACCACCGAGGGCAAATGCCTGGGTTTGCAGGTCTCGGAGCTTTTCGGTGTAGATGTGTCAAGGGCTTAGGATATGGGGGTTTCCCAAAATTAGGGGTACCTTGTTTGGGGGTCCTTATAGTAAGAATCCTAATATTTAGGGTACTTTATTAAGGGTCCCCTAATTTTCGGATACTCCTATATATAGGGTTTCGGGTTCAGGGGTTTCAGGGCCTGGGTGATTATGGTTTAAGGTTGTAGAAACGCTTTCATGATACAGGGCACCCCGGAGAAGTAATGTAGGGGCCTGAATAATTAGACTATCGTTTCGGAGGTTTCATATTATGTTTATAGTATACGATACCCCCAAACCCTATTCCAATCATTCAGGCCCAGCAGTAGGCCCCCGGACAGGATTGTCGAATCCTCGTCTTGGCAGCAGATGCAGAACATGGCTCCGGGAAATGGATGTGGGCAAGGCCGAGTGTCTGCTTTTCACGCTTATGGAGTCCTTAGGGTTTAGGGCCTATAGGGGTTTGGGGGTTTAGGGTCCTCTACTCGCTGCTGGTAGGACCGGTTCGGCGACTGCTTAGCGCAGCATCGGAACACGTGCAAAAACCTGGGCTAGCCTAGAGCTGAGGCCTACGAAACCCATGGCACGACCTTGCAGCTCCAGACGGAAAAAGCCTCGTCCGCTGTGGGCCACGGAAAGAACAAAGAGGCCACATGGGAGTTTCCGAAAATTAAGGAACCTTATTTGGGGTTCCTAATCCTCGGCATCCTACTTATCTAGGGTACTATATTAGGGTCCCCTATTTTCGGAAACCCCCACATGTTTCAGCAGTTTAAGGTTTTTAGGGCCCCTGAGGCTAAGTTGTCACGGCCTGGGACGACAATGACAACGACGACGGCTTTGGCTGCCATGTGAGTAGTTGTCAAAATTGTGGTCCCTTTTTGGGTCCTTATTATAGTACGGCACCTCATATTTAGGGTATCCAAAATGGGGCCCATAATTTTGACAACCACACATGTGCTTCTGCTGCTACTGCTGCAAGTTTATGAACTGTGAACATTAAGCACGGCTTCAATCTTCCGCATGTTCGGTCCTTGTGGCAGACGTTCATGAACAGGGTAACCTCTATTTAGGGTTTGGTTATTTAAGGAATTTTGGGGCTTAAGCCTCAAAAGGGTCTGCCATAATTCCCAAACCATCTGAAAGCTGGTCTGCATTGAGGGCTCAGTGAAGCGGGTACCCTTAATTCGAAACCCTAATCCGCAAACACTTTAAGTCCTATAGAAACCTTGAATCCCAGCCAGCTACCGAACATCCTTACTCTAAACCCTAGACCCTAAACCCTTCGCAGTAAACACCCTGCCAGTCTGCCGGGGCTGGGCTTGAAGGTTTATAAATAGGCTGGGCTTGAAGGTTTATAAATAAGGTTCTAGGGCTTCAAGGCTTCACGGTTTAGGGTGTAGGGACTTCGGGTATTGGGGTTTAGCGCTTTGGTGGTTCGGGGTTTTGCGGTTGAGGGCTTTTTGGGCTTCGGATTTTGGAGCTCGAGGGCTTGAGGGGGCTCAGAGTGTGAGTGGTTCTTCGGATCTAGAGGGGTTGCGGTTTAGTGTGTTCAGGTGTCTACAGCGTCAGTGCGTTTGGGGCTAGAGTTTAGTGCTGTAGGGCATTGAGGGACACATACTAGCGATACAAATTTTGCTCCAAAGGCAGAATCCTGCTGTTTATGTTTATGTGGCTCTTTGGATTTTGAAGCTCGTTTTCATGTCGGAGAACTAAACTTTGCTGGGCGGTCACGAGAATTTTTCCGCACGGAGGCGTGTGACCTGTACTTGCTCTTTGTGGCATCATCTAACGGAACTGCTCGCGGCAGAGGCAGCGCCGGCATTGTGCCAAACCCTCAAGTCATAGTCTACATTGTAGTTCCTTTTTGGGGCTACCTTAGGGGATCATATGTTAAACCGCATAAGGAACTACAGTGGAGACTATATGTGAACAAAAAGGGGCCGAACTCGAAACCGCTAAGCGTTCACACTCAAGAAACGCCGGCTTGACCTTCAACCCTACAGCTTAATATAGGGGCCTTTAATAATTAGAACAGGGCTCCTTTAAAGGGTTCCTTTGACAGGGGATACTAGAAGGGATACTACAAAAGTAGTATATTATGAGGACCTTTATAAATGGAGTAGGGTTTTGGGACCCATTATACTGTAACTTTAATGAGGAACCCCCAAAATAGTCTTGGTAATTGAATTAATATGCACCTATGTGAGTTCACTCGAAGCCCCTGTTTTCTTGACATCTAACACGCGAAAACCTAGATGTGAACCACTTCTAAAACCTAGAGCCTTAACTACACCCCTAAACCCTGAAAGTGTCAACAACTGGTAGTCTTCGGGGATCGAGCGTCGGATGTGATAACAGTCAGCTCGCAGCGGGGTCACAATGGCTCGGTATCTACGGAGCTACAAAGATCCTCTGCAAACCGGGGCGCCTGTTTTGATCCACATCGCCAGCTGTAGGCACGACGTTCCTGCAAGGAGACAGAGGGCCAGAGTTCGTTGAACTTTCATGCCCCCCTCTCCTCTTGGAGAAGATTGATGGAGCTCTTAGGCTCCAAAGCTGCTTGATCACTCCCCTGATCACAACTCTTAACTTTAGATCTCTTGCTAGGCTGCTCGAGCGGTAGCAATCCGAGTTCCTTCCTCCGCCGTGCCGACATCATCGATTCGTCCTCCACCAACCGCCACTTGTGACCCATACGGTAGTAGAGGTCGTACTCGCGTTGGCCTCCGCTCTTCGTGAGCGTGTTGGCCAGTTGGGCTTCACTATGCACCCATCTCACCTGCACATTCGTGCAAGCCTGAGCTTCCTTCAGGGCCAGCATCTCGATGCTCGTCCTCTTCTCTGCTCCCTTGATCACCATCACCTCGGTCTCTAGCTTGTCGTAGACGTTACGGCTGTCCGTGACAACCGTTCCGGCTGTCAGCTTCACGGTTTCGTCCGGCCTGTGTAAGTCAGGCCGTCCATGAAGCATTTCGCTCCATTGGAATCTGGTGGAGAAGAGCTGGTCCTCTCCATTCACTGCCGCCTGAGCCTCTGCTGCGCCAGGCGACCTGCAGCTCCGGTCGATTTTCTGTGAGTGCCAACTCACAGGACTCACATCACACACATCGCCCTGCATGATGTTCTCGGTGGTTGCTCCCACGAAGATGCCCTGGGTCGAACCCCCGTCGATACGGTTGCTATTTGCAGCGTCCACCCAGGCCACAAACATCACCTTGGAGTCGGAGGGCAGGGCATGGATCTTCATCTTGTAGCTCTGCTTGAGCTTCGCATGGGCGAGCAACGTGTTCGCCCGGATCATCGTGTCCACGCAGCTCTTCGTTACCTCGGTTAAGAGCAACCCTACTTCGGCCGCGAGGTAAGGAGCGACCTGCTGGGCGTGCCAACTCAAACCTCCTAGCAAGGCGCGCAATTGAGATTTCTCTCGGTCGCTCGTAGGATCCTGGGGGTTCTTTCTTCTAGAAGCGTTCACTCCTATCTCGCTCAGGTTCTCTAAGTAGCTTGGTTGAGACAACTCGAACCCTGACTCCGTTTGTTCTATCACAACCCCACACTGAGTGAACTTCCCTTCCTCCCAGTCACCCCACTTGAAATGCTCCTTAATGGCCCTTAACTTCGACTCCCACAGTTCATCCCCGGCCTGGCCTCCAAACAGAAAATCATCCACGTGACCACTGATGATTCCTCTCAGAACCCCTTTTTCTCGCAGTGCCCAACAGCATGAGTCTGACCACAGACGCTCAAAGCCTAGTTGCCGCAAGAACTCATCAACTGACCTGTACCATTCCAATGGAGCATCAACTAAGCCGTAGCAAGCTTTCTGGACTCTTGTCACGCTGTTTGGCGGGATACCCAAGGCCTCGCATATTTCAGGACATGGCACACAATACAGTTTGTCGGGGTAGGCCCTTGATTGGAGAAACGCTCCTGTCACGTCCCCCTTCTTGACCTTCCACTTTTTCCATGCGGCCATCTGCAACAGAAGTTGTCTTGTCTGCCTCGTCATGACCGGGGAAGTGGTAGCACGATGTTCGTATCCGCCGTCTTGATAGCCTAGCAATACTGCCCTCGCCTTTGGTTTGCGAGAGCCGTCCTCTCGCAACTTCCAAGTCAGGATCCATCGCATTCCAATAGCCTGGCTGCGGTCTGGCCGGAGGTGCTCCGGCAACACTTCGAACGCCTGGGAGGCGATGAAGTTCTTGACTTCGATCGCCTTCGCTCCTCGGAAGGCCTCCAGGTCTTCTGCTGTCATCCGCTTCTCTGACAACTCCACGGCTCGCCGCCGCATGCTGCCCACAAAGTAGCCCCCCAGGTTGTTCCAAGCTCGTTCGCAACCTCGACGGCTGTTGGGCATGGCGATCTCGATCGCCACCGCCGCCTGCTGGTCCGACCAGTAGGCACTCGCAGTCTCTGGCCAAGACTGTTCCTTGACTTCGGTGTACCAGGCTGCGGCTTCGGCCCCAGAAGGTCCACTTGCGCTGCCACGTGGACTACGAGACCTCCCGCGGTCTCCTTGTGGCTCTGGATCGGCCTCCAGGTCGAGGTCCAAGGGTTCGTCGTCCATAGGCACCTGTCGGGCCGGCTGTTCGCCAGCTCTTAGTGCCGCGTCCAAACCTGCTGGGCTGCACTTCTTGAGTGGGGTCCTGAGCTCGTGCCCACTCCGATGTGTCCGGCGTCTCGCCGGAGATGTCCTCGTAGCGGTTTCCGCCAATCTGCTCTGCCACCATGTGGTAGGTCCAAGGAACCTTGAGATCTCCTGGAGACACCATGGCCTCCAGCAACTCCTCTCGCTCCGAAGCTCGTCGTAGTTGTTCTGGACTGCACTTCAACAGGCTACGGCCTTTCACCAGCCACACTGCCCCTCCGGGGCGTAGGTTCCCAGATTCGTCGCGACGGGATTCCGTCGCCAGTATCCTGGCTGGCCCCAAAAACCGGCCATGTTTGCCGCCAGGTTGGCGGCGCCCTTTGTTGGCGTCTTGGCACCGCCAGTAGAAAACAAGCTCCCCAGGCTGGTAATCGTAGCATGGCCTATGCCTTGAATGCTGGGCCCTCATGATGCGCTGCTTAGCTTGCCACTCGCTCAAAGCTTTTTCGGCCTCACTTCGTAGATTAGCCGCCCGTGCAAACTCGCCTTGACTATTCTCGCAGAGTAGATCTGGGGGTAAACCCTGGCTCGCTGACAGGTATCTGCCCGTCTCGTCTGGAGCCTGGCCAAGAACATGTTGCGCAGGAGAAAACCCACGTATGATCTCCTTGCGATTAAAGCATGTAGTGGCCTCGGACAAGGCCTGTTCCACGCCCAACTCGGGATCATACTGGCACAGCTTTTGCATCACCTCCTTGACGCCATGGACGGCGTTTTCGCATGCTCCTATCTTCCAGTGTGCCTCACCGGGCACAATGTCCAGGAACACACTGTGGCGGTCACACCAATCCTCTACAGCTTGACTCCGGAAAGCACCCGCGGGGTCCAATCGCAAGCACTTGGGGTAACCGAAGTACTGAACCCAACCTTCCTGGAGGTAGTGTAAACAATGTTGGGCATTCGGAGCCTGACGTGGGCCTCTAGTGAGAATACGCGTAGTTCTGAATCTCGAGCCTTCATCTATAATCACCATAAAATAAACGCTTTCTTCAGTTTGGGGGTGCACCCAATGTCCGATATCCGCACTCACCGTCGTGAATTTTGGGGGAAGTGGCTCGAGAGTCGCCAGGTTTCGGCTTTGGGGCTTTCGCTTCTCTTGGCAAACAGAACACGTGAACTCTTCAGCCAATTTGAGGGTTCGTTCATCGGCTCCTCGTCGCTTGAGCGCTTGTATCATATGCTTGGGGTGGCTATGTCCGGTGGCACAGTGCAGGAGATACAACTGTTTCTTGATCGTTTCATCGGGGTCTCTGGACTTTTGTTTGATTCGAACCTGAGTAGCTGGGTAGGCCTCATGGTCAATCTTCGGAACCGGAAATCCCAAAGACCTCAGGGCCTGGACCTCTTCCGAACCAACATGCTGAAAGCCTCGACTCACGAACACCGTCACAACCCATCTGTCTCCCTCCCAAGCACAAGTTCCATGCCATGACTTTGGTGAAAAGACCACGGGACTCAACTGAATATCATACTCACATCCCTCAACCAAGTCACCCTGACTATTCGTCCTCACCGAAATGCGACCCTTCCGACCACACAAAGACTCTTGACCCTCAACCCACAGCCCTCCCCCTGTATATTCCCCAAAACCAATACTTGCGTTGGGGTGCTCTGGACTGTTGTGGCAGTCCCGGTGCACAGGGAGGCTGCTACCGTGGTTGATCACGAAAGAACTCCATTGCATGGTGGAGGGAAGATAGCGCTTCAGGGTTTGATTGATACACCTACAGAGTTCGGGGAAGGACTTGGTTCGATTGGTCAATCCGTAGTGGTTTCCGTACGCGTACACTCCAAACAAAGCGTAGTCAGTGTTGGGGGTTTGCTTTCTCCTAGACCTACCAGTGTTTTGAAGCGGGTGCTCGGTAAGGAGTTCACGGACCTGGTCAAGGTTCTGGTGGCTTGGGCTCTCGGACAGGGCTTTGGCTTTGGCTTCCAGCTTTTGGGTGTCCAGTTCACTCATGTAACCCTCTCCGGTCTCTTCTGTCTGGGCCCTCTGAACCATGCAGCTGCCACACTCCTCCAGGTGTGCCTGTTCCTCACAGGTGCATCGAAGCCCCAATCCAAACTCAGTCTGAAGTCTGGAGTCACCTGAACACTCCTGAACAATCCCCTGAAGTTCAGCCTCCTTTCGCAACCCTTCATACACCAACCGGCAAAACTCCGAAGTGTACCGACTGGAACCCCTGGCATTCGCACCCTCACACTTCGCATGTTTGTAGTTACTCGCACAACGACATGGTTTGTGGAGGATATCCGCAAGCCGTGCATGACTCGTCACAACGCGCCATCCCTTCTGCATCAACTGTCCGTCTTGACCCACAAGTCCAACAGCACACCCCTTAACGGTACAAGTATGGAGCCCCATATTGAACCGCAACTTCTGAAGAACCGGGAGCCTCCAAGCCTCTGATCTTTCCGAAATCTCCACTGAAACATGAATGCCCATCTGCATGCACACCTTGGCTATTTCCAATGTGCTCTCATAGATCCTTGTGGCATTGGCTCTCTTAGCCTTGAGTTCCTGAATCTGTGACGGGGTCCGTTGGTTGATGCTCTGAAGAGGCGAAAAAGGTCCACTAGGAGGTGATAACCAAACATGTCGCGGTTTAAGGGTACGAATCTGCTCCAGAGTCACAGCAAGGCCCCCTGGGGTAGATAGGTCATGACCACACCACAACGAGCATCTACAAGCGCTGTCACTTCGGCCCGTTCTCCTCTGGAAGGTGGCTGTCAAAAGGCTGTCTGGCTCGCACATAACTTCAAGCAGATCCATGCGCTGTTGCCCTACCAACTGCTCAAACATGTTGGGAACCACATCCTGAAACTTATGTTCCAACACCCTAGAAGCCTGAAGACTCATTCGGTGTCCTTCGGATTCGGCATCTCCACGTCCTTGGCAAACTGCTTCCTCGGCTTCTCGCTGCGCTCCTCCTTCAAGGTCTGCACCTCCTGGACCAAGTGGGCCACGAGGTTGGTCAAGTTGGCCACCGCATCGAGGTTCACATCCGAGCTGCTTGCGGCGCCGGACGGCGCTGCAGCTGCACCCTTTGCCGCCGCATAGCCCTTCTTTGGTGACGCCCGTAGTTGCTCCTTCGCTTTGGCCATCGCCCGGTTCCGTTCGGCCATTTCCTCCTCGGCATGGTTCTTCACCCAGCGGATGAAGCGGCTGAGGTAGATGGAGCAGTCCCCCTCCTTCTCGGTCTGGCGGGCCCACTCCACATACTTGGGCTCCTCTTCCAGCACGCTTTGGTAGGTTCGGGCCGAGAACTTCCCAAACCCCATCAGGTCCGCGCCGGTGGGCTTGGTGCTGCTGAGGATGGCCGCCATCGCCTTGCGCTGAATCGTCCCGATGGTGTCGTTCGTGGTCGGCACTATCCCCCGTACTCGCTCGTCACGTACTGGATCAGCTCGGCCTTGCGTCGGCTGTGCTTGTTGAGCTCCGTCACGGCCGTCTGCATGGGCGTCTTCTCCTTGACATTCTTGATCTCCGTCATCTCGCCGCTCTGGATCAGATCCTGGATCCGTTGCTTGAGTTCGATCTTGGTCCACTCCTCGGGTGGTTCCTCGCCGTGGCTCTTGAGCCGCAGCACAAGGTCCGCCTTGGTCATGTTGTCCATGGCGGGGATCACAAGTGGGTACGCAGGGGGCACTAGGTTGTGAGCCGGGATTGCTGCCATCTCGGTTGTCTGGTACACGTGCTTCACGACACACTTCCGGCTCTGACTCATCACTTCGCACTGGCTCTCCCCTGCTGTGGCTTCCGCAGCTTCGCTCAAGATCTAAAGTTCCTACACTCCCCTCAATCCCACTGCTACCAACACTCTTCGAAACCCCAGAGTGATCAGCAGCATCAAGATTGAAAACCCTTCCTGACTCACACTGTACGTCCTTGCTTTTCCCGTCAGGAGAAGGATCCGGAAGGAGCTGTCCCTAGCCTTGCAGGTAAGACGAAAGTCCGGGAACAGCTTGTGAGGCAGATTCGGCCTGAGACATCCAGTCCTGGGTCAGAGACAACAATTGGTGTCCGGACTGGCCGCGAGTGAGCCGCAGCACCTTCCTATCGTCCAGGGCCCAAAACACCGCTAAGTCATCCCTAAAATCTATGACTGCGCCCAACCGCCTCAACGTCTCTACACTCATCAAAATCGGGCTTTGCCCTTGGTCCAGCGTGTGGACCTGCAACTCTCCACGCTGGCCGTTGGCCGAGACCTCAAGTCTCGCAGTGGAACAGCAACGGTTCTCCGTGCTATTCCCAAAGGAAAAAGTCGGAGGATTGGTAGCATTGATGCCTTTGAGGCGGGTGGCTCCATGAAGCTTCCTATTCTGGTCTAGCACCGCCTCTACAGCAGCAACACTTCCAATCGTCTGAGTAGCCCCGCCATCTATCACACACATGCCCTTGCGAACGGCCTCCTGGGTTGAGAGCAAGCTGGTGCGGGCGTCCGCGCTGAGGGCCGACTGTGCGAAGGCGGCAGAGTCCTGGATGTCGCTGGACTCCTGGATCACATCCTCGCTGGCTTCGGCCAGGCACACGAAAGGTGCCTGCTGTGTTCCGGCAGCTGGCTGGCCACCATGGGCTTGTTCGGACAATTGGCGGCCCGATGCCCAATTTGTCCACACCTCAGACAGTCGAGATTGCTGTCGTCGCGAACCCTCCCATTGGAAGACGAGGGTCCTCGGCCGCCACCGCCGCGAAAGTATTTCCGGCTCTGCTTCACGACCTTTTGTTTGTATCTGGCCTCCTTGAGCGTCCGTCTGGCATCCTGCATCGCTGCCAGAGCCTCCTGAGCTTGATCTTCTGCATCCGCAATGAGGGCAATCTCGCTCTCGTCGTAGCCCTCCGCCTCGAGCTCATCCCGGGTGTAGCCGCCACCTGTGGTGTCGCCATCATCTTCGTTCCATTCTTCAGCCTCACCCATGTAGCTCTGGAAGCGTCGGCTGTCCCGTCGCTTTGTCTCGCCTTCGGGGAACTGATTCCTCAGTTCCTGTCCCACCTTCTCCGGCGCAAAGTTCCCGCCCAGAGCCGTGACCACCAGATTTCGCTCTCCGTGGTCCAGGCCTGCATCCATGAGCAGGTACCACCCTTGGATAAAGGTGGGAAGGAGTTCGCCGGCCTTTGGCAGGCCGGTACCCGAAGTAGTAGTCGACGAAGTCTCTGACCAGTTCCAGTTCCCCTCGGATCCATACCACGAGGAGTTCCATCCCCAGCCTGAGCCTCCGCTCCCGGAATAGGGACGCCAAGCATGGCGCCAGGGATCATACTCTTCCCAGGCCGCATCCTCCGTAGGCCGCGTTGAGCCATCCTGCGTGGTGGTTTCCTCCGTCGCTGTGGTAGGGCCTTCCTCAGTGGCGGGTGTCCACTGACGGCTCCAAGTCCCAGCCTGAGACTGGTAGTCCATACTGCTCCGTCTCGAGGGCCACCAGGAATAGCTCGTGGAGCTCGCTTGGCCAGCTTCGTAATGAGGTTGCACCCGCCTCATTGCTTGGCAAGCCCGCATGTACGCCTCATTCTTACGGGTGACGTACTCGTTCATACTTTCGCCGCTCCTTCTCCTTGTCCCTTTGAAGTACAAGGCCAGCAGGTCCGTCACCTCGTTCACCCGAGGCTTGCCTAAGGCCTGCCTGAGGTGGTTCATCAGAACGGCAACGCCGCCCCTGAAGGCCACCCATCCTGGCGGTTGTCCGGTAACATAGCGCTTGGCGGCACCGGTGAGCTCCTGGACCAGCTTCGGGCCAGCCGTGTACCTCTTCTCCCACGTCAGCGACTGCTCCCAAAGGAGAGCAGTTTCCTCGTAGAGGGTGAATGTCCCGGCATCACCTCCCCATGCTGGGATGCCGTCCTTGTTCCTCATCGAGGGCGCTGTAGACGAAGTTTCAGTCGTTGCACTCATCTTGATCTCTGAAGAGTCCTTCTTCAGAGCCACAAAAAACTCCCTGGATCGAACACCGAGCCGGCGGTCCTAAGCCACCGGCTCCGCTACCATGAAAGTGTCAACAACTGGTAGTCTTCGGGGATCGAGCGTCGGATGTGATAACAGTCAGCTCGCAGCGGGGTCACAATGGCTCGGTATCTACGGAGCTACAAAGATCCTCTGCAAACCGGGGCGCCTGTTTTGATCCACATCGCCAGCTGTAGGCACGACGTTCCTGCAAGGAGACAGAGGGCCAGAGTTCGTTGAACTTTCAAACCCTAACCCAATCCCGGAACCCCAAACCAGGCAATCCAAGTTCGGACGGAAAGCCGCGGACTTGTTCGATGGACTTGAAGGGTCTTGCATTGACTTTATGGGGCCCTACCAGGCCCTGCACCCTAAACCCTGAGGTATAAGGATGCAGGTCACCCAGATTGTGATCAAAACCCTAAGCACCGAGAACAGCAGCGTGGCTGAGGCTTCCCTAAACCCTGAACCCCAAATCCCGTAAACCCTAATTACACCCTAAACCCCAAACAGAATCACCGAAACCGAAAGCATCCGAAAAAACCGAAAGCCGTAAAGCCCTGGACTTAAACAGTAAGCCCTTAACAGCTCTTCGCTTAAGCCGGTGCAGCCCGTGCATCGGAGCTCTTCGTGGGAGCTTCTAAACACCGGGGAAAGTCCCTCGAAGCCTTTTTTGCAGGGATTTCGGTGTCCTTGAAGAAGCCCTGCCCTTCCTTGACTAGGTTCCTCAATAGCCCCTTGAGAATAAGGGTGCCCTTTTTTCGAATATTCAGAGTTAATAACCCGAGACTGAAAAGGGCAAAAGGGTACTACTCAGGTACCTAGTTGAAAAGACCTTGTCCAGGGAGTCTGAGGATGCAAAACAAAATGGCCTACAGTAGAAGCCAGAAAGTTGGAATATCATTATCATCCTACCATTAATCCATATTCCAACTTTCTGGAGTTCCCTTTATGGCCTATGGACCTGTACACCGCTGTGGGTCTGTTGGGATCCGGACCCCTGGGGCTTCATACTTGCCGAGGTCAAACAAACACCCGAAGGGTCCAAAGGACCCAGCAATTAGGTACTCGGCTTTAGGATAGTATTTGTGTAGGTTACTACTTTGCAGAGTATACGATATTTAAGTACTTGGGCCGTTAGGGAAACAGAGTCATAAACTTCGGTCGTAATGGGAGGTTTCAACCCAAAGTTTCGTCCGAAGCCACAAAAACTTGGCAAGAAAAAGGTGACGGCACCTACAAATTCTCACAAATTCCCTTGGCTGACTTCTGAACCCCTCCTAAAAGTTGAACTTTGAGCCTCCTTATTATATATAAAAAGTCTTAAGAGCCAACCAGAAGAATGCTAAGTTCCCAACCCAATGTAGGAATGTTGGCGGGTCCAAGGAGCCATGGAAACATCAGCTTTGGGGTTCAGGGTTTAGGGTTTAGGAGTGAGGGTTCAGGGTTTAGGGTTCAGGGTGTGCTCAGGGTTTAGGAGTGAGGGTTCAGGGTTTAGGGTTCAGGGTGTACTCAGGGTTTAGGAGTGAGGGTTCAGGGTTTAGGGTTTAGGGTTCAGGGTTCAGGGTTCAAAGCGGGTTTAGGATTGGGGAGGGGGGTAAGAAAGGATGTTCGACTGATGTACAAAATCCTGGGGCACCACACGTTTAACTGCGATGTGTGCCTTACTATGGACAAGCTCGGTCATGTCCACGGCAGCATTTGCCGTTGTATTGGGCCGCAAAGTTAGACTACATGACTTACCCATGACTGATACACGGCTCTCATTCTAAACCCTTAGCCCGAAACCGTACCATAATACCCCGTAGAGCCCTTCTGCCTGAACCAGCTGCCGAACGTAGCCGCCGTAAGGATTCGAAGACGCTTAGGTGGCTTTGTTTCCATACGATTTCATACGGTGTTTATTAGCTACTATGTGGAGGACTTATAAGGCCGTGAGAACCAGAGTAGGGCCTAGGGGTATAGTTTTAACGTCAGAGGTTTTAGCATACATACGCATGTACACATTAACCAATAGAGAGAGAGAGAGAGAGAGAGAGAGAGAGAGAGAGAGAGAGAGAAACAGAGAGAGAGGGAGAGAGACGGAGAGAGAGAGAGAGAGAGATCGATATAGAGATAGAAAGAGAGAGGGACCACAGGGACATAAACACTAGGTGTTTCCGTCTAGACCCCCCCGCAATAGGTTCCAGCTTGTTTGAGAGTGCTCCCACATGCTTTCGCCACGGTAGCCACTGCCATGTCTGGAGAACGACTCCGGCCTGCGTAGTGGAGAAACATCTGCGTCATAAAGCCTAAACTTCAAATCCCGCAAACTACAGCCTAAACACTAGAACTATACCTACATACATGTGAAACCTAAACCCATAAACCCATAAACTATATCCTAACACCTACTGTAATATGAAGCCTAAACCCAATACCGAGGCCTTTAAACCTCCCTAACCGCCCTAAACCCGAGGGCCCAGCGGGCCGCAGGCCCTACACATCAAGCGCTTGGGCCCGAGCAGCCCCAGCGACGCTTTGGGTAGGGTTTATAAGGGATATAGGGTTAAGGTTTAGGGGTTTCGGGGTTAGGGTTTAGGGCTTTAGGGTTCAGAGGTTTAGGGATCTAGGGATTCAGGGTTTAAGGGATTATAAGGGTTTAGGGTTTAGGGCTTTAGGGTTTAGGGATTTAGGGATTTAGGGATTTGATGCTTGAGGAACTTAAGGGGTTAAAGGGTCGTTGAGGGGTTGCCGGATCTATCGGGTCCAAATACCGTTGATGATATAAGCCCTGCTTTACCCATAATAAGGAATATACCATTTGTCCCATAGTTTAGGGTCCTTAAGGTAATGCAGGATTTATATCATCAACCGTACCTGCCCGAGTGGGGGTTAGATGCTCTAAGTGTGAAGTCATATGGGAGTTTCCAAAAATAGGGGACCCTAATATGGGACCCTAAATAGTAGGATCCTTATTATAAGGACCCCAAAACAAGCGAACCCCTAATTTTCGGAAACCCCCCCATGTAGCCCCATGGTTTTTGGAGCCCTTGGGGCTTCTAGGGCTTATGGCTTAACCCTGAAAAACCTACCGTTTTAGGGGTTCCTTATTATGATTTCCGTATATAGATCCTCAAAAGGGTATAGGTTTTTGAGGACTTATATACTTATACGGAAATCATAATAAGGAACCCTAAAAAGGTAGGTTTTCAGGGTTAAGGTATGGCTTAGAGTATTTGGAACACAGTCTGAGGAACACCCAGCTGATATCTGGTTTGGGTAGTGTCGGCCCGAAACCAAGCAAACACCTAGGCTAAGGTTCCAACAGTTTGAGTCGAAGAATTCGAAGCTGGTAACCTTAACCTCAAAAAAGTGTTCGGGTCCCTTGTTTGTGAAATCCTTATATTATACAAGGCCCGAAAAACGAGGTTTTCGGTAGTTATAAAAGTTCGTGGATGGGGGGCTTTAAGGGCTTAGGCTGTAAGGGATTAGCGGAGCCGGAGTCGGGCAGTTCTGCGACAGCTTTGTACACCCCATGCGAACCGGGGGATTGTCTTCCACAAGGAAGCCTGAAACAAGTCGAAGGTGGATCCAGCTACACTACACAGACCGTACTTAAAGGATCATGGGACTTAGTAACTAGGGCTACAAATAAGGCAACTATACTTAGAAATACTTATAACCTACTACCGAAATGGCCTAGTCAATTCTAAACCCTTAACATTTCATAAAGAAGTTGGTGCGGGCAGCCAGAAACCAACAGCGACTACGGATAGGGGCTTAGGGCTTTGGTTGCTCGTTGGCTTGAGGGTCCGGGGGACTTGGACCTGCGAGGGGGGGGGGGGTGAGGGGGTCAGGGTTGAGGATACGGGGATCAAGCCAAGCACGACATGCGCCCAGCCGCACCCGAACAGTATCAGAGCCTTCATAAGAAGATCCGTGGAAACCCTTCAACTATAAACCCGAAAGCCCTAAACAATTGAATTCACTAGACCCCTAAACCGAAACAAACAAAGCCCTGAAGCCATGCACACCCCTACACCCTAAATTGGACCCGAACCCTAAATGCTCAAGTGTCCCGCTTCTTGACAGTCGGCATGACCGATTGCATATATCCCCCACTCTAAACCCCCAAGCATCGAACGCTTCCTGAGCCCTACCTTAACCCTGAACAAGCTACCTTTTTAGGGCTCCTTATTATATATGATTTCCGCATATAAGTCCTCAAAAAGGTGGGTTCTTCTGGGTTAAGGTAAATCACGACCCACTCCTGTCTCAAGCTCACCGAGATGTGAAGAGAGGCATCCTTTTGGTTGCCCTTCGCCCTTCTGCGGCCCAAGCTGATTTGGTTTGGGGCTGCTTGTTGAGTCTTCCTTGACTCTTCCTTTAACGGGCTCTTTCAAGGGATTTAGGAGGCTGTCAACATACACCTATATAACTCCCGAAGGCTCATATGCCGTGCTTGAAGTACATGCTTATAATTATGGATGGGTATACGGTATACATCTCAGTAATTCAAGTCTGGCTTTGTTTCGCCTGTAGCCTATACTACCCACGTGCTAGATGTGGAGATCGAGGTAGCTTGACTGTGTGGTCCTTTGACAGTATCTGTCGTCAGGAGTCTGTTCAAAGAAGGGCCAAGGGACCCTAGTTTCGGCGGCCTCAATTGAAATCACCCTGAGGGTCCACGCTGTTCGGGCTTAGGACAGGCGGAGTGTGGGTGGATATTGGGAGTATACGGTTTATGATGGGGATTATGGTCTATTCCGCATTATGGGTAGTGCCGGGTTTATATCATCAACCGTAGTTCAGGGTTTAGGGCAGTTTTCGATTTAGCATCGTGTTTCTAAGGGTTAGGGTTTATTAGGGCATATCATCAACCGTATGACTGTTTAGTTGCTGAGTTCATAAGCCCCCCAAAATGTACACTTGTAGTTTTGTAGTGGGTAGTTTTTTTTTGCGCCAAAAAG